ACTATCCCTGGAGCAGGGATTTGAAGTCGGTTCTCCAGAATCTCCAATTGATTATCTTTGCTTCCAAGGAAAGCCCTGGTTTAATCTGTTCAAGAACCCATTTGTTTGTCTTCTTGGCTGTCCATGGTATCCTAAGTACTCTTCTCCTGCACCACATTTCAAATGAGTTGATTTTCTTTCTATCTGCTTCCTTGACTGTCCAGCTCTACCATCCATACATGGTAACTGGGAATACAATGAACTATTCTGACTTTAGTGCTCAGTTGTATGTCTTTGCTCTTCAGTATCTTTTCCAGTTCTTTCATAGCTGTCCTTCCATTCCTAGTCTTCTTCTTATTTCTTGACTGCAGTCTCCATTCTGGTCAATGTTGGATCCTAGATATGGGAATTCTTTAACTATTTCAATTTCCTCGTTGTCTAGATTTGCTTTCGGGTCACTGGAAGTCAGAAACAACTTGAAGGCATAGAACAACAACATATATCTACACCCCAAAGAAAGACGCATGAGCCACAGTGAACTGGGCCAGAAGAATCACTTCCATCTCAGGGGGGAGTTAAGTTTAAAAAGAGCAAATTCAACAGACAGAAGAGGAAATTTTCTACAATCCCTCGTTTCCATTTTGCCGCAGGATGGCGCCAGTGGAACAGGCAATTCCCACTTGGGCTGGGATGCAAAAGTTTCTTCTTTCAGAATCTATCCAGTTCCCTTCGGGGCATGCTATTGTTATTATTATTTTAAAACAAGACACCTTCGTTGCTTCATATTCTTGTAGGCTATTTCAGAGGCTTCCAAACCCATTTGGTGTAAGTTATGTTTTATGCACTATAAAGATGTCCAAGTGGAATCTGGAGGAACAACTTTTCTGATCCAGTTGAGTCCAAAGACATAAATAAGACTGTGGTTTGTTCCCTTAAGTGAAAAAGGCTATGCAAAGGGATTTTGTAGCACCTTTGAGACTCCCTGAAAGAGAGAAGTTGGCAGCCTGAGCTTTCATAGACTTGAGCCTACTTTGTAGGCTCGCTCAGGCTGCCAACTTCTCTCTTTCAGGGAGTCTCAAAGGTACTACAAAATCCCTTTTCAGACTGCTTTTTTTGGAGGCAAATTTGCAAAGACGCTTCTTGGGGAGTCTCAGTAAGGCAGCTTTTCTTCTTCCACACTGCAGAAATGATCCAGTTTGACACCACTTTCATACCCTGGCTCCATGCTGTGGGATTCAGAGAACCATTTCTTATGGCACCAAAGTCCTCCGACACAGAAAGATAAATGTCTCACAAAACTACAAACCCCAGGACCCCATAGTATGGAGCCAGGGCAGTTAAAGTGGTGTTGAAGTGGGTCATTTCTTCAGTGCGGATGCCGCTAAAGAGGCTCCTTTTTCTTTCTGCACATTGACCATGGCTCTGGCAGTTGTGTGTGAGGTGCAATTTCAAGGCGCAGGTTTCCCACCTTCTAAGAAGTGTCCCTCCTCACAAGAAGGATGCTAATTTCCAAATCTGAGAGAGTTGTGTGTGTGTAGGTATGTATGTAATAAATAATAATAATAATAATAATAATAATAATAATAATA